ATGGATGTTACCTTTCGTGACTTTGGGTCCTTATCTACTAAGCAGACATCACTTTAAGGGAAAATACCACTATAGGCAGGGTTCAAGATATCGGCCAAGTCGTATCTGAATTGGCCACCCTGATACGAAAACGATATACAATGACTGAAAGGATTTACGAAAACGACTTGGCCACCCCCCGGGTTTTTCATCTCCAATGACCGAAAGGAAAGTTTGTACGCTAAAGAAATCTATTTATTGGTTGAAGCAATCTCCCAGAACTCGGTTTGATAAGTTTCTCAAAGCTATGTTGAAATTTGGATATAAACAAATCAAACANATCTATTTATTGGTTGAAGCAATCTCCCAGAACTCGGTTTGATAAGTTTCTCAAAACTATGTTGAAATTTGGATATAAACAAATCAAACAGATCATACTTTGTTCGTCAAACAAGTTGATGGCAATATTACAGTTTTTATTGTATATGTAGATGACATAGTGATAACTGAAAATGATGAGCATGAAATCGCCAAATTGAAAGCTCAATTGGCCAAGAAGTTCAAATCAATGACTTGGGTCCACTGAGGTATTTCCTTGGAATTAAGGTTGTCATATCAAACAGAGGTATCTTCATATCCTAGAGGAAGTATGTTCTTAAGCTTCTTGAGGATATAGGAATGTTGGAATGCAGACCTACAGATTCTTCAATTGAAATCAACCATTGACTGAGTGATGGTATTAGTGAGGCAGTAGAGAAAGAGATTTGAGAATGGGGGGCCCTCCAAAGGACTAGTTTTTAGCTCCTTACTTACCTACCCTTAAATATTAATAAAAGAAAAAGATTCAAAATTCCAATGATTACTCATCCCACTTCACTCCGCTACTCTGCTCGCTCTGACAATTCTATATATCGGCCGAAAAGAGAGAACAATGTGATTAGCTCACCTGCCTTTAAGTGATAGGAGGGAGTGATAGAATACAGGTAAAGTAGTATAAGGGCAAGGCGCTTACTCTACCATCTCTTTCTGTCTGCTTCCAGAGGTGCTTAAATGGTCATTATCCGGGTGAACGGATGGACTGGGGTAGGTAGGGATTGTTGTTGCTTTCATAGCGCTTGTTTCTATCTATGTATAGTGCTCCCCCTATTTGAAATCAATAACGTTGACGCGGATTCATGTCACTCCCTTTGGTGGGGTCCTACCAAAATCCCGCTATACTAACAACTAGTTGAGAGATTAATATATCTCTCACATATTCTGCCAGACATCACTTATATAGTGGGTGTTGTTAGTCAATTTATGCACGATCCTTGAACCCCTCATCTTGAAGTCATGTATTGCATATTGAGGTATCTCAAGTCAACTTTAGGAAAAGGGATCATATTCTCTAATAATGGCCACTTGAAGTTAGAAGCATTTAGTGATGCTGATTGGATGGGCTCAGTGGATGATAGAAAATCTACTTCACGTTATTGCACCTTAATTGAAGGAAATCTTGTCATATGGCGAAGCAAGAAGCTGGCAGTAGTTGCTAAATCTAATGCAGAAGCTGAATACGAAACAATGTCCCATGAAGTCTGTGAGCTTATGTAGCTCAAAACACTATTAAGAGAGCTGGGAATTCATGATGATGGACCTATGAGACTATACTGTTACAACAAGACTGCTATTAACATTACTCATAATCCGGTTCATCATGACAAAACCAAACATGTTAAAATTGATCGACACTTCACCAAAGAGAAGTTAAATAAGCGTTTGATTTGCATGCCTTTTGTGAAACCAAAAGATCAGTTAGCTGATATTTTCACGAAGGGTCTTAATAGTGAAGTTTTTTATCCCATTGTTTACAAGTTGGGCACGAGAGATATTTATGCACCAACTTGAAGGGGAGTGTTATGTTATGTGTTATTTTTAGACTAAAGATAGTTTTGTACTTTCTGATTATATATAACAACTGGGTGTAATAGTGTAACCTAACACACTACCCTTTTTTGATAATCTTCTTTCTTTCTTCTATTATTTTCCTTCTCTCTCAAAACCGTTATGACTTCGTAACTTAACTTTATCCAAATGGCCTCCTAATATAAATGTAAGAGATAAGATTTCCTTTTTGGGAGGGTGGATTGGAATGAAAGGCTTACCCTTTCATTCGTGGAAAGAAGATGTTTTAAGGAAGATTGGTGTGGTGGCTTGATGGAGATAGATCGAAACATTCTTATCTCTATAAAATTTGTTCTAGACCAAATTAGGGTGGGCATAAGTGAAAAGTTTCCAAAGAAAATGTTGTAAGACTAGGGTCAGGGCTATTTCGAGGCCTGGAGAAGCTGTCAACAACATACAAAAGCTTCGGAGGCTATATGGTAGCACGAAGATTCGTTTGGGTGTTGAAGACGATGACATGGCTAGGGTTTCATTGAATGGCTTGGAAAGGCAAGAGGTAGTACATGATTCCTGTGCACTTCAATGTAGAGAGAGGGAAGGTGGGCTAAAAATACTTGATGTTGTTCCAAAATTTGGGCCAACTACTAATGAAGGGGAGCCAATAATTATGGGAGCAATTAATGCTAATCACAATTTGCTAGTGCTTAATTCAAAATTTGAAAAACAAGATGGGATTGCAAATGGGTTTGGTTGGTAAGATGATTAAAGGAGTTAATAAGGCAAGGAATCCAATGGGCTATGAATCTAAGATGAGAGCTAACAAGGCAGGGCTTAATCTAGGCTTTTGATGACAAAAGTGGGCTAGATATCTTTTGGGTCACTCAATTTCCTTATTGACGTTAAGATGAGAAGCCCGCAAAGTGTGGGCCATTCAAAGCAAAAACTATTGAGTTTTTTGAAATAAAAGATGGCTCGATCCAAACCCATTTGTCAAATGGTCTGAGGTGTGATTTATCAAAATTTAGGGAAAATTTTGTCTTCGATGTAGACGAAATGGAGGGTCTTCGATGACAAGATGGAATCTTAGACGAAGAAGGAAGGAGAAGATGAAAAGAGATAACGGACAGCTTTAAAGACAACAAAGGGGATGGAAAGTAGTTGCTCCGTGAGACGATCGAAGGGTTAGACATATCAGATGACATGCGACAGAGATATCGAGTGCATCTGAGAGATAGTTCCTTTGATGAAGACAACTTTTTTAATATGGGCTTTGAAGAGTGTCTAGATGGTGAGGCTAGTTCTAAAGATAATTTGCAAAGTGATGAGATGACATTAGAGAAGAATTCAAAAATGATTGAATCCGACAATCAAATTGGAGGGCTATTCAAAGTAGTAGAGGATGTAGCTCAACTCAAAAACAGAAGGGTACATGGTCAAGGTGAGAGAGTAGGTAAGTCTTGTTACTAGTATCTAGTATGCTCTAAGACCAATCATATAGATGATGTTTTGAGTATGTACTAGCAACATTCATTACTTAATTAAATAAAATGACAAGTTTATTTATCATGTTTCTTTTTTATTTCATTTTAATATACATGATATAGTCCATAGAAGGTTGAAAAGAGGAGACCTATACTTCTTAGTACTTAACTCTTAAATGTTCCTAATCATAGGATTACTATGTGGACTATGTAATCCGGTTAGACTAGCATATACTATGTTTGCTCATATTTTGATATGAGATGACTCATCCAAGTCACTAGTATAGGGACACTAAAACACGTGTAAAAATCTAATTCAAATGTGAAGATTAAAGTTTCTCGGAGAAAGCTTGAAGATTGTTAAAAGCACGCTTCAAGAGGAAACTCTTAATCTCCTCTATAGATCTAAGATTTTCGGTTTGTATTAAACATGAATAGATCTTAAAATAAGGAATCAAATTATTTTTAAATTCCGCTATATTTATTATATGATTCATTTCATATCTTTTTGAACAATTGTCAAATGCTCTTCCTTCTATTCAATTACAAAGTCATTCTGGGGAGTTGGCAATTGACTCTAGTAAGGCGTGTGAGATATTGATTCCTTTCAACTTTTTTTCCAAAAGGAGAGTAGTGTTGCGGAAGTTAAAGATGATTAGGAGGGGATTTCTTAGTCTTTTTCAGTTAATAATGGTTCAAATGGGGTGTGAAAAAATAGTCGGTTCAGACTATTAGAGGAACGGAAGGAGGAGTGTAATTCATTGATGTGTATTGGCAATGAAAACGCTATAGAGAGTTTAGTTTTGAGGGGCCTGTAGCCAGCCTATTAAGGATAGTAATTGCCTTCAACAAGAGAGATCCTATTATGGCAGAGATGTGGGAGGATGAAACCAATGGGAATGATAGATTTTATCTGTCTGACAAGGAGAAATGGTCCATTTTGAAGAAATTTTTAGACAAAATGGAATCATCTTTAGTCCACAATAAAAGAAATGGCAAGAAGAAAGAGGGTAGAAATTTGAGAGAAAAAATAAAGCAACGAGGGAACTTAGAACCTTACAGTTTGGGGTCAATTATAATGGTGAAGGAGTGATGAACATCATTAGAGTTAAAATCAATAATTAAAGTTGAAATGTATACATGAAATATTAAGTTTATACACATAATTAATTTAAGGAGCTGAAAGAACCGGAAAAGAGTATGTAATTAATTGGAGAAGATGAAAGGAAATTGTTCAAGGGAATTTTATGTGTTATGAAGGGTATTATAGTCAATCAAAAGTTTTTCAATTTTGTTGACATGTTATAATAGTATAAATATAAATTTTGAGCAAATAGCAAAAACAAAGTTTGATTACTTTTTAAGACGTTAAAAGTAGTTTTGGAAAAAAATTATCAAAGGGCGCCAAAGCCAATGACCAATCTCTCATTTAGATCCATGATCCACCTACACTGCTACACATGTGCCACACACTACTTATTTTTCTTGATTCTTGTTTCTTTGTCTATTCCAAAACTTCCAGTTTAATATTTTCTATATATCAATACAAGAAGCACACAGATCAAGAGAACAGTGGATGCAACATATTTTAAAATTTGGAGAGGCAATACATAATGAGAACTGAGGACAATCCAGAATACACACCCATAGCTATTCTCACCCTGAGGCAAAAAGATTAATTGAATTCTGATGCCGCATACCCTTAACATACATCAAACACAGCAATTAACTTGAACACATGGAATCCATAATACCAATCATGTATCCCTTGAAGAAGTTAAATGGTCCATACCTCCAAGTCGTTATCATGAAATTCCTTGTGTACTTGTCTCAGATGTGATTTTGGCAACTGGGGAAAAAAATAGACCCGTAAATAGTACTCATCACAAAAATAGAAAACATATTCCCTATGGTAGAAGAAAGACAGCAGTGTAGCACAGATTACTTTGGGTAATCATGATCATCTAGAGGTTTGGGTAATCATGCTCATCTAGATTTTCAAAATACATGAACTTAGCTTTGTTTTCTTCTTGCCGGGGCATATCTCAATCCAACTTTCAAATATTTTGACATGTCTAGACCCTAAAAAACATGCATTCAGTGACATAATGGCTAAAAATTCATGAGGCTATGACCTTGCAGCATTTAGAAATTGCAAGTGGCAGGACCTCTCATTCGACTAAACTATTGATCTAAGTGGCTTTGACTTAAAGAACCTTATCAACCAAAAGTTACGTATTCTCCAAGTTGAATAGATCTCTAAAAACAGAAACGTACCTTTGCATTATAAGCAGAAGCCTTTACACCAAACCTTCTTAGAAACTTCGCTATGCTTAATGTTTCTTTCCTTGTAGGAACATATATTATTGTGGGACCTTGTCCTAAAGGCCCTTGCAGAAGTTTTAGTCTTTCTTCTGTTTTGTTCGGCAGATCAAGTGTTTTAGGCAAGCCACCAATAGCTGAGTCCTTAGTAGGTGAATATCCATAGAATTCACCATAGGAAACTGCAACAGTGACCATTGTGACATGAAAAATTATGTTGACAAGAGAAAGAGCTGTCTAATAAATAATACATGAAAAACATAGAAAGTAATTATAAGACCCCGTACTATAATGAAATAAGAATAATATCACCTTAACAGTTCTCCTAAGATAAATAAAATAATGGTAGAAACTTTAAAGCATTGTTGGAGAATTGGTTATGAAGTTTGAATTTCGCACGTATTGACTTTCATTTCAAATTTCGGTTCGGAGGCGTTTAAGCTTGAGCATTCTTGAGAATTATGTAAGTTTTTAAATGTTTTTAGGCCAAAATAAGACTACTATTGAATCCGGAATGTCTAGAAACCTTGGGGGAGGTGAAATGGAATGTATTAGAAGTTTGGAAGTATTTCAGATTTAAAATGCATTTTAGGGAGAATTTGGGAAGGATGAAATTTGACACTATCAGAGTATTTTGATCATAAATTTTTACTCCGAACTCTGATTGACCTGATTCTTTGTGGCATTAGGAAGTAAACTTCAAGGGTTACAAAAAATTACTTCATGAAAATTTTGTGAATCATCCTCTAACTAGACCAAAACTGCCTTAGAAGTCAATGCAGAAAATGAAATTCGTTCAAACAAAAATGGCTCCGTTCTAACGTCCTCTGATGGATTTTTAGTAGACAAAACAAGAGATATTGGGAGCAAATCCTGTTCGAATGAGCTTGACACTGTTCAAACGCCAAGCTCCTCATTCAAACACGCATGTGCGATTCTGCACAATTAGCCCGCGCCTCCTAAACTGTTTTCTCACCCTATAAAAACCCTAGGGANCAAAACAAGAGATATTGGGAGCAAATCCTATTCGAATGAGCTTGACACTGTTCAAACGCCAAGCTCCTCATTCAAACACGCATGCGCGATTCTGCACAATTAGCCCGCGCCTCCTAAACTGTTTTCTCACCCTATAAAAACCCTAGGGACGTGTTTTATGCCCGTTTTAGCAGTTTTCAACCCTAGGAAGTCAAGGAAAGTTGGGAGAGATGAAAGGAAAGATCTTGAGGAATTAACGCATAGGAGCAATTAATTGCGGATTAAGATAGGGGATCTTTGTCTCAAATTTATTCACTGAGGCTTATTACAAATTCATCTTTGTTATTCCTATTATAANGAGGAATTAACGCATAGGAGCAATTAATTGTGGATTAAGATAGGGGATCTTTTTCTCAAATTTATTCACTGAGGCTTATTACAAATTCATCTTTGTTATTCCTATTATAATATGTATAATATATCTATGATGTGTTTGCAATCTTTGAACTACATGATCGTGTTCTTGGAAAAAATACATGTTTTACATCCAAAATTACGTGTTCTTGATAAAAACCTTAGATCTTGAATATTGGTTTCTTGAATGCTTCTTTTGTTCAAATCAAGACTTGCTTGTTTTATACATTTTTTGTAAACTTTGTTTGGGTTTGAAAAGGTTTTCCTTGTTCTACTCACCCCTTACATTTTTCAGATTTTGAAATTGAGAAAGATACCAATTTAGGTGAGCATGAGGACTATGGGTTGGAAGCAGATCAGGATGTGGATCCAACTTTCGAGGNCGGTTTGAAAAGGTTTTCCTTGTTCTACTCACCCCTTACATTTTTCAGATTTTGAAATTGAGAAAGATAACAATTTCGGTGAGCATGAGGACTATGGGTTGGAAGCAGATCAGGATGTGGATCCAACTTTCGAGGCTTAAGGATTTGTTTATTGATTTTAGTCATTTGGTTTACGGTGATTGAATATTGTTGACATTAATCTGGTTAGATGATGGTATTTGGTTTTATTTGAGATTTTTGGATGTAACCCTTGATGGTTAAATTATGTTCCTTTGGGGAATTTTCAGTTTGATGAAGTTGGATGCTATGTTTGATTTAATTAATGGTATTTTTAGTTATGCTCTCATGATTGGATGGATAATAGATACTTCATATCTATATTGTGGAAAAATGGAGCGCGATAGTAATGCTATGTGGTTATACGCAATAGAAGAGAATAAAAAAATGTCAGTATAAAGTCTTTGGTTTCGCACAGTTTGGGTGGGTTGAAGAACCAAAATGCTGTACTTAGCACAGAAATGTAATTCTACCTGGACCCAAAAACAATTGCCTCAAAATTTGAGGTCATTTGGAGGGATTCAGATGCATTATATTTCAACTCAAGGTACTAATACATAAAAGAGTACTTAAATGCACTGGACCCTCGTACTTGCCTCTTCCATGTCTTTCCCAAACACAAAAGCATGAGATTCTTTAAAGCAATCTTCTCTCTCCTTTTCTCTTAAAATACCCTTGCAAATTTATGGCCTCTTCTTTTAGGTGATGAAAATTTATGCTTTNAGTCTTTCCCAAACACAAAAGCATGAGATTCTTTAAAGCAATCTTCTCTCTCCTTTTCTCGTAAAATACCCTTGCAAATTTATGGCCTCTTCTTTTAGGTGATGAAAATTTATGCTTTATTGACAAAACCAAGGTTGATTTATATTGGAGACTTGCTATCAAAACCTCCCAGATGTTGAAGACATCTACGAACACAGGATACACTCCCTATTATTCTTTTTCTTTTCTTTTTTTCTTCATTTCAAGCAATATCAGCCACAACATGTATTTCATAAATAATGACAGAACCTTACCATCAAAATCATCTACATCCTGGAAAAAATCACACGAGTCTTCCAGATATTCAACTGACAATTGTTCCTTTGTTGAAGCAGCTGAGCCATTTTCCTTTGCCGAACTTACTTCATCCTCATTTTCAGAAGAGATATTATCCTCAATATAGTCCACTTCACTCTTGTACATTCCATATGCTTCTGATAGGCCATCATTTGAAGTGCTACTTGACTTGTCAGAAGCATCCTCCAGATCTGGCGCAATCAATTCTTTTTTTCTATAAGACTTTCCTTTGCTGCCGTATATATCTATCAATTCATGAAAATCCTTCTCATAAGAAGACGGAGAAGATGTTCTGCTATGCTTTACCTGAAAAAAGGCAGAATATTAATAGCAAAAAGTGTAACATTGCAGATATAATCATAGATGTATACATATAGATATGTACACACATATTCATAGCCACGTATTTTTCAGCTTTTGACAAGTTTATATCTACAAAAAGGTAGTGATCAAAAATATCCGAACTCCTGCATTTAGAAAAAAATCAATTGAAGAATGCACCAGCATACACATGCACCAGGAATCTTTATGGAAACAAGCACAACCTGTAAACCACAAAGAGAGGAACACAGAACTCACTGCAAACCGAAGATTGGACCGGAAAAATGAAGTGAGAACAATCTTTGTTTCCTCCGACATGCATAATGATTTCAGAATGTCTTCTCGAACACGAATTGTGGCGGTAGCCGTCAATGCCATCAATGGTATGTCAAACTTCAAGAATTTTAATTTGTCAGCTCTGAAGTTCTCCCTCAAAGCAGACAATCGCCTAGAACAGAATAAAAAGTCTGCTGTCAAAGAACTAAAATAACTTTTGAACTCCAGAAAAGGTTCGGTGCATGTGTGTGGATATGGGGGTGTTGATATGGAGAATTTCTTATGTTATATTCAAATTGGGTCAGGGGAGTTATTTGCAGAATGCTTGAACTGCAATTCATGGGTGAAACCAATCACTTGGGAGGCCATAAATACATCGAAATCATTGATAATGAAAAAGGAAATATTAAAACGTAGATACGGAACTATGATGATCAGGTTAGGTTTATCAGTAGCACAATTCCTACAGTAGATAAATTACAAGCAGCCTCCTTGCCCTGCATATGCACCACGTGCACCATTAACACAGTTACATTATAACACACAATTGTTATAAAAGATCCAGTTACTGCTATGCCTTTGCTTCTGGATTAAAGCACATAAACCTGCTCATGTATTTAAGAAGCACGAGGCAAATCAATAAACTGAAGCAGAATGGAGAAAACAAACCTATAGTCAGGTCGAAAATCATGACCCCACCTAGAAACACAATGCACTTCGTCTATTGCAAACAGTGCAATTCCACGAGTTTCTGCAAGATTCTGAAGTGGTTTTATCAGTCTGCAGGAAAACAAATAGCATTTTATTTGTCAAAAAACACAACAGGCACGCCCTCCCAAGAAAACAGAAGCATCAGGTGGGATCATAAACTTTCTACCTCAAAATTGTCTCTGGGCAGACATAGATAATGTCATAAATGCCTCCCATTGCTTTCTGCTCAACACTACGGTCAATTTGTCCAGATCCAAGAAAGCAAGCAGACACACCATGTTTTGCTAGATTCAAGCACTGATCATGCATCAAGCTTATCAAGGGTGAAATCACAATAACGACTTTCCCCGTCAACAATGCCGGTATCTGAAAACACAGAGATTTCCCTACAAAAAGGGTAGTAGCTTTGAAACAATTGTGACACATAAACGCACTTAATAGAATGTTAGCATATATCACAGGAATAGGGCAGGAAAAGAAAAGCACCAGATCCTGTCGCTGCAAGAACAAGGGTGTCCTGGTGGGCTAGCCAAGCTGCCAGGGCTTCCTTTTGGAAAATTTTCAGGGATGGATATCTAAAATGTCGGTGCAGTACACTATTGGCCTTCTGTTCCCAATCTGGTCCAATGTCATCTGTTTTGCAATAAGATGGCATTATGGGCGCTTTTACAGGGATTTTCAGAAAAGTGTCCATCACAGGGAAAGGTTCATTTGGTCTTTCCGCAGGCCTAGGCAAGACCTGTGATCCAGAGGCCAATACATCAGATTCAAGAGTGATCTTGCTTCTTTTGAATTTTCCTGCTGATTGTAGATGTTCCATTATGCTTGATTGCCGCATTCCACCAGAAGTTCCTAAGGAAGAGGAGGCTCTCTTGCCTAGAGCTGTACCAATGCTGGTGAAGCATCTAGAACTACTTGATGCACTGGCACTGTTTCTACGAGATCCGTTCAAGATAAACTCAATGGCACCATCCAAAGATGGACCCACTGCTCTTATGGCTA